TTTTTTTTTTTTCTTTTCTTTCTTTCATAGAGCGTTTCACTTGCAAACGGTGATCCATTCCTCGACGGTGCAATTTTGACACTGAACGAAGCAGCACCAATGAAACTTGCACTTGCACCTTTCCGTACGCCTTTGCCTGACAACGTTGTATCCTCTACCGCAACATAGGCTACCGCATCCGTCCCCGGCCGAGCTGGTTTTGTTGCATCTACGTCCGGTAGTGCCAGGAATGTCAGCGGGCGGATCCTTTTCACAAAAGTTCGGTGACTTTTGATAATAGAAAAGTTGTTTGGCTAGATCGCGGGGTTTCCTTTTACGGCCGGCACCCCTTTCGCGATGTTGTTTCTGTCTTTGTCTTTGACGATCCGGTCTCCTTCTCCTGGAACCTCTCGCTCTTGCCAATGGGGTAACGCTACCGAGATTACTTTGCGCCACCAGGACGGCGTTTCTGAAACGATCCTTGAGCATCTTGCCGACCACTCGAAAATCTGGGACAACTTTCCAGCAGGTTTTCAGCTCGCACGAACCGGACATGCCGTGACACTTGCATCTTACTTGCATGTTGCTCGCAACCGACTGAAACAGACAAGTCAAAAGATTGTAGAAATGTAAGAAAGGAATGAGGATGATGGTAGCTACCCAAGGGGAACAAGGGAACACCACGGTGGTGATGGTGGTGGTACTGGTGGTGGTGGTGGTGGTGGTGGTGGTGGTATGGGACACGAACGAGAGAGAATGAAAAACACCGAATCTAAGTTGCCTTTCTTTTAGACAAAGAGGTGTCGCGTACAAAACAGTTAATGAGTCTACGGCTGGGTGGTCCCGCCCGGGGCTTCGTCTTAATAACGTTGAGACCTCAGCGATGCTCGGAGAGTACCACGAATGAGGAAAAGAGGAATAAAGAGAGAACCCCCAACGTCTTCTTCTTCTTCTTCTTCTTCTTCTTCTTCCCTTTCTCTTTGTTTTTTTTTCTCTCTCTTCTACTCTCTTTTCTCTTTTTCTCCATTCGTGTTCCCTACCCCTTGTGCTTTGGTTTCCACCATGGGCGGAGTTTCGACGCGGGGACCAATCTAATCAAAAGTTTCGAGATTTTCGCGAAAGGAAAAAAAAAGAAAAAGGAACGCGATTTAAAAAAAAAAAAAAAAAAAAAATACGAAAATAAATGATCGTTTTACCAGACGTCCTGCTTGATTGTTGTGCAAATTAACGGTTGATTGTATGTCGCCAGCCTTCTCCCGGGTATCTAGGAACTGTCTCGAAAACTCCATGCCGTAGTCGAGATTGTGAGAACATCCACCCCATTTCCATTGGGTGCCCCTTGCCTTGGCCGGGGGTTTGACTTTGTAGCTGGACGGGTCGCATCCGCAGGAGAGTAATTTTCCCATGCTGCAGGCTCGTGCCACGCTATGGGCAACACCTGCCGCTGATATCGCGTAAGCGAACGCCGTTTCTCTGTAACCTACGTTTCAATATAACATATCATAGATATCGAATTTATTCGTATGAGAAAGTGTAATTAAAAAAAAAGAAAAGATTTTGCTAGATAAATAGATAAATATCTCGGTAAATTGTGTTCTCGCGGAAAAACAGGAGATGATAAAAGAAGGATGATAAATAATAAAAGAAATCATTCTGAGCTAACGTAGATGGAATAACAAATGGATGGATTATCGTTCGTTCGATGTTAAATTATTCAGCCGTCGGTCGAAACGAAACGCGTGCCCTTTTCTCTACTCGTACGAGCAAGTTTCTTTCTTTCCGATTGTTCAACGGCACCTTTTCCCTTACCACCTTCATTAAACGATCAAGAATAGATCTTGAGAATAAGAGGGAGAGAGAAAAAGGAATAAAAATAAAGTAGGAAGAAGTAAAGAAGGAGGAGAAGGAGGAGGGGGAGGATGACGCGAGCATCGTGCAGCACCCAGCAGACGTTCGTTAAGAGATGCGAGACGTCGGTCTTAGTTTTTCTTAGGGCCCTCCCGCGTCCAAGGTCCTCTTCGTCTTTGCGAGCGAAGGTACCTTCTCCTCTCTTTGGAGTCGGATTGACGGACGGCCAAGCGTCAAACCGCAGTGGTGGCTGTCAACTTACAAACGATACGACACACGAGCGTTCGCTGGCTGGCTGGCTGGCTTACAGTTGGAGCAACCAAGATTCGAAAAGGGGGCCCTCCTCTTCTCCTTCGACAATGCCCACATTACTCTACCCTTTCTCCTGTGCATCGAGAAGTTACTCCGAAGCCATGGATACCGGGCAACCGGCCTGCTTGGTTGCTTGCTTGGTTGCTTGCTTGCTTGGTTGCTTGCTTGCTTGCCTACCTTCCTGCCTACCTTCCTGCCTGCCTGCCTGCCTGCCTGCCGGTCGACCGGCATTTGCAGTATTCATGAGGACGAGATACCGAGGAGACGCGCTAAAGGCGCTCCTAAAAGGATTTGTGGCATTCGTTCTCGACACCCGATGAGGCACCACGTTGCTGCCACTGCTCTGCTACTTTGTCTCTACCTCCTCCTCCTCCTTCCTCCTTCCCGAAGGGATGCGAATGAACAAGGATGCAAAAGGATTCCACAAAAGGAAAGAGAGATACCTTGGGGCACGGACCCTCCTCCTCCTCCTCTTCCTCTTCCTTTCCTTCAAACGATACCAAAGGTATTAATAATTCCGTAGCGAGTCTTCCTCGAAATCGTTAAGATTTCCAAATGGCAAATGACGCGTGGCAACTCGGACAGCAACAACAACTTATCTCCTCTTCTCATGTGGAAATATTTTCCTCCCGATCTTAACCTTAACTTTATTCTACTATATACGGATATTATACGGATAAGAAAAGAGGAACCGTTTTATAATCGTCGATCCAAGTTTGCGCGAGAATGATCGTAAAGGTGGTGGGCACCATAGCACCACCACCACCACCAACACCACAGGGATTCTCGCAATAAATCCTTTGGCAAGAGCCGTGTGTCTCTTCTGTTGGACAGCAACCGGCCGGAAGAACAGAACACCACTGAAGGAGTATGTAGTAGTAGTAGTAGTAGTAGTATTTGCGAATAGCCGGAGATTGAAGAATGAAAAATAAATAAAGAAATAAATAAAAGAGAATGGATAAGAATCTCTCTCTCTTTCTCTCTCTCTCTCTCTCTTTACTCTTAGCTTTCACGATTGTGGGACACGGTGACGAATCGGCTTGGCAATTCCTCCCCACCTTAGCAAAGTTTCGCGTCAGACCCGATTCGTTACTCTTAGATAACTTAATAGATAGATAGGGGAGGAGGAGGGGGAGGATGATGGGCTTTCGGAGAGTTGGATCGGAAGGAACGGAAGAACGAGTACGGGAGGTCCGTTCGTTCATTCGTTTATTCGTTCATTCGTCCGTGAAAGACTACTACTACTACTATTACTACTACTACTACTACTCGCAACGAAGAACGTAGTACCTAGCGTCGATCGAACCGGTGCAACGAGTTTCTTAATTAATGGCCTTAAGATAGATCTACCTTTTATATGACGATCGCCTTAGATGGTACCTTTCTCGCGCAGGTGGCGCTCGTTTCTTTTGCGAATCGTCGTCGCGAACCCCCTCGTAAATTCTCGCGTTAGAAATGATTTTCTTTTTGAATTCAATCGGATTATAATATATCCGATCCCCGGTAGGTAGATAAAAGGGTAAATGGAAAAAGGAAAGAGAAAAATAAGAAAGTTTTTCGACTGAAATATTTTCATCTATTAAATCGACTTGTGCGGGCTTCTTCCTCTGTCAGTTTTCTAATTTCCATTAGACGTCACATCTTTTCTTATTTCATCTCCTACTACTACTACTACCATTAACTTCTCTTTCTCATCCTACTTTCTATTCTCTCGTTTTTCTTATAATAAAGAAATAAAGGGGGGAGGGGAAGGAAGAAAGAAGGTTTGTAGAAAGGAGAAAAATAAGAATAAAAGAGAGAATAGAAGAGAGAGAGAGAGAATACAAACGTCGTCTCTCTGTGGGATTTAACGACACGGATGACCGGGGTCTTGAGACGTGAGCTCCCGGACTCTCGAAATTCGACACGCTGGATTTCTTGCCGAGTGCTCGCAAGTTTCTTCTTTTACAGTCAAGTTTTACTACGATATAGACTTTGAGAAGCTAAGATCGTTTGCGATTGTAACATTTTATAAGGAAACTCTTTTCAATTGCTTTTATTCTCAAAAATTTAGCTACGGTGTTCGATTAAGGGAATGGGGGGCATAATAAACTGATGGTATCGATGATCTGACACGTCTTCTTGAAAGATTCTCGAAATTTGTATTTTACACGATCAGAGAAGAATAATTACGTGAGAAATTTTTCAGTTTAAACCATTTTTTTCATTTCTTAGGGAAGATTGAGAGATAATCCTTTTAGTTGGAATTTAATTGAAGTGGTTTAATTACATCATCGTTATCGTCAGAATTACTGTTCTCGTTTTTAACACGGGACCCGAATCACATCCATTCCAAATAAAAAGTAGACACACGCGAATAAATTCTAAGGTCTCGGATAATTCAAAGATATTTTTAATGAATTCTATATTAATAGCCAACCCATCCAATTTTTATATTCTACAATTAAAACCATACTTAAACTAAAGGAATCAACGAATACTAATTTTGAAATCCGTTAAGCGAGGATTCGACTCACAATATTATCCTCGACCAATCCCTATTTTCTTTCGAGTAAAAGAAAAATTGATCTCACATATGTAACACGCTAATAACGCTAATAGGATAACACTTTATTATCATAGGTTTGATGTTATTACGAAAGAATCGAGAAATGGTAAAATTGAATCGACACCCTTTTGACGTAGAACACGGAGTCGTAAAAAATCGTAAAGGGTTCGATGGAAGTGCTGAGATAACGAGATAGCTTGGGAATAAGGGCCAAAAATGAGAGGAAAGAGGAAAGAGAGAGGTTGTTGTTCTTCCTCTGTTGTTCCGCGGGCCTTAGGAGAGTCTTCTTGAGGATGATGGGAGCTCATGCTTTCAGGTCAGGTGCGCCCGATGTCGCGCTCTCGCGCATTCGTCCGACACGATATATGTTTCCTCTTTCGGCGCACGTACGCGCCACGACGAATTTATATGTCACGCTGGTCCAGTGCCGAGCTTGACTCCCCCAGTTACCTCCCCTGAAACCTTCTTATGGAATTGGGACAGGTTTTTGGACGGTGCCCTTGTTGCTTCCTCCGTTAGCAACGCCAACGAAGAGGAAGAGACGAGGGCAACTACGAGGATGACGACGAGTAAACCGTGTGCTCTCGTGATTTAATGAAATCTCTTTTTTTTCTCTCTCTCTTTCTCTTTCTTGGCTTTTCATTATTTTTATTTTATCTATATTCTCTTCGAAAAATCTCCGAGAAGAGAAGAATGAGAAGGTGGTATTGTTGGGGTGTTTCTATTGATTAATCATTTTGTTATTTTCTATCGATAGATACCCTACGCGATTTTTGTCTTAATCTATGATAATTTAACACTTTATCGATGATACTCGATGAACAGTTATTATTTGTTATTAGAATTTTATTTTATTAAAATCTGAAGTTGAACGGATGATCGGTAAAGTGTTAATGTATAAATTGTATCGTTAATTTCAACTATAACATTTTGGATAAACCAATAACATTATATAATTATATGACTTTGATAATATTATTACCTCTTTGCAGGAGTACGCTACTCTGTTGAGTTCTGCTGCTCGGCGTTAGAGAGGAACAGTTCCACCTGTGCCACATGAACTGATGCTGACATTCTAATATCGCCATTTGTAATCCCTGGAGTGCTGCTACCGTAACGTCCGGGTTCCTGTGGCAGAGTTCACGCTGTTCCTTAGTTAATCCAGGTATTCCGTTGCAAACTACGGCACTGCCGCTGACCCAATCCTCGACCGAATTGCTCATCAAACAACTGCCGCTGCAAACGAAGATGTAGATCTTTTTATTAACGGGAAACCAACAAACATACAAACACAAACACACACACACAGACGCGAGTAAAAGATTTATCGTGAGTTTTTTTCGTACATTTGCCAATTTCTTGGAATCGCGAGAAAGCCGATCTTCCCACGGACAAGTTCGATCGGTTTGAGTGATTTCGGTCGTACGGAATGTCCCGTCGTCGCGGAGATTCCTCGTACGATCGCGGTATGCCGTGATCTCCTACCTACTCCCCTCCTCAGACCCCTACAGACCCCCCCTGACCCATACCTACCCACCCCCCTTTCTCTGCCTCTTTTTCTCTTTCTCATCAAGATCGAGGTACGAGAGCTCTCGCTTTTATCGGATTCTCGATCGCGAACGATTGCTCGTTCCTGAATCTTTCGACGATCGATGGGATTCACGATGCCAGATAGGAAAATCTAAGAAAGTGCACTTATTCCTCTCTCTCTCTCTCTCTCTTTCTCTTTCTCTTTCTAGTTTTAGATTGAAATTAATTAATCGAACATCAGGCAGAAGCCGTCGTTTAAGATAACGCGTTCTAAGAGCTCTTATTTCAAGAGTCAAAGCACGTTATCGCGATGTTAGTAGACGAGACATGATGATGATGATGATGATGATGATGATGATGATGATGATGATGATGATGATGATGGTGATGGTGGTTGTGGTAGTGAGTATATGGTTTGATCTGTTTCTTTGAGAGCATTCTCGCACCTCTTGACCTCGGCCTCGTAAAATCATTCAAAAGAAAACAGACCCGTACGATATGGTACATGATACATGGTACATGGTGTATACGGAAAGGTGGGGCGGGGGGAGGAGGGGAAGAAGGAGGGAGGAGAATGAGATAATCGTAAAAAGTTGAAGAAATGTCAGGGAAGTTTGATTTCTCGCGTTGCAACCGTACAACCAAATAACAGCTGGATGAGTTAGGGGGTAACAGGACGAGAGGAAAAGATTCTTTCGGCTGGTTCGTTAAGTTTATCCGCGCGTACAAATTAGCCAACGAGCATCTCCTAAAGTAAAAGTTGTGTATGGCACCCGTGCGGAGTAAGAAAAAAAAGGAAGAAGAAGAAGATACGGACTGGGTTGGGAGGGAGGGAGGGCATGCCGAGGACGACACAAGGAGGGAGAAGGCAGGCACAAGCACGCTAGTAGAAAAAGAATAAAAAGAATAAAAAAAAAAAAAGGAGAAGAAGAAGAAGAGAGAAACCGTGCTCGGGACAACTCGGGAAGTTTCTGCGGAGTGTGGGAAAGGATGGCAAAAGGAGGGATTGAGGCTTTTTAGGGTCGTCGAGGTTATTGAGGGCTCCCATTACCGGTACATCCGTGCCCCTAACGCTATCTTTCGCGCTATTGATGATCTACCGAAAGCAGATTAATGATCTTAACTCGCTCAACAAATTGCCGAAGACACCGTACGGACGGTTGAACCTATCAACGGATTCCTTCTGCTACCTCTCTCTCTCTCTTTCTTTTTTTTGTTTCTTTCTTTCTCTTTCTTTCTCAACTTTTCTCTTTTCCTTTCGTTACCACTTCGATACCTTTCTTCTTGTCTCACTTCTCGCACAAGAAGCGAGACACGCGGTGTGCTGCTGCTGTTTCTGTTACTGGTGCTGGTGTTGCTGCTGCTGCTGCTTAAGGAACTCGTCTTTGCGTTACCGTCATTCTCGTTGAAATACCATGGTCCTTGGTTCGATTCGAAAAGATAACGAGTCCCATAGATCGACGGTTGAATCGGATTACATTAAACTTCTGTTCGTTGGCACGTAGGATATACCGAGATATTCTACTTAAGCATTTAAATCGTATTTTTCTTATTGTTGTTTTCTATCTTTTTCCTAGTTTACTCGTAACGAGTTGTAATTTACATTAAAACGCGCGTGCGCTAGCAATAATAATCTTGGAAAAACAGGGGGGGTTAAGTTGGTGGAATCCAAAATGGCTTCTGACGCGATTTTATTCGATCGTTCTTTCGGTTTCCCCTCTCCTCGTCCCATCCCATCCCATCCCATCCCGTATCGTCTTGCTACGAGAAGAAATGGAATTTCACGTTTAATGGGGGCTTGGTACTGTGATCTCCAAGTAAAACGGCTAGATATCAGTTTCCGGTCTTTCTATGTCGTGAAATTAGTTTGAGAAAATAATACTGGGAGAACTAGGAAGGAAGGAAGGAAGGAAGGAACGAACGAACGAATGCATTAAAAGCAAAGAGATAAAAAATAAAGAAACTGAAACAGAGAAAGAGAGAAAGAGAGAGAGAGATAGAAAGAGAGTCAAGGATAAGATTCGCGCGTGTCGCAGCAGCCCAGAGAGAATGGACGGAGGACTTGGGTCGCGCGAACCAGTTTATCGACTATTATATCGTCGAGAACGTAATTCAATGCCCCATAGCGAGAGTACATCGCGCATACATTGTGCGGGCACGTTCTCGCGTCCTGCATCGGACGCACGAGAGAAAGAGAAAAAGAAAGAGAGAGAGAGAGAGAGTCGGTGCAATTATTTACGACGAGTCGGCGGCCCCAACCACAAGGGGATTCCACCCGTAGACGACGACAACGACGACGAGGACGAGGACGAGAACGAGGACGTGTATCGACGGAGAATCCGATACCCCATAACGAGGATAAAACTAAGAAGAGTTGTATGGCCTAACGCCAAATAACTATGTCTCTTTAGACGTTGTCCACGAAATAATAAACATTATTCGCGATTACATTTACGAGCTCTGTGTCGTAGAATAATTCTAGTCGAACGTTTTAGAAATCGATCGATCATAGTAATAGAATGGGATTCTTCCTGATGATCGATACGCAAATCGATATCAATCAGATGATCGGTTTAAATCTCGATGAAAACAAAAAAGAAAAAAAAGAGCTATGAAATCAAATACCGTACCAATCGATTTTGTGAATTTTTCGAAAGTTTTTGCTCGCCTTGATCGTTGGTTGTGTCTGTTGTTTTTCTCGCTTATGATCGAAAACAGCCGATTTTTTCTTTTTTTTTTTTTTTTCTTTCTTTTTCTTTTAGAGACACCTGCGTCAATTTGAAAAAAAGAAAAAAGAGCGGGAAATAAGAGAGAGTAGTTACCTACAAGGTACAATGTAGTAGGTATTTCCATAATGAGAGAGGAGTTCGATGCCGAAATTGAAGAGAACGCAATTTAAGAAGGAACAGCCTCGGGTTAAATAACGAGTTTTCGTTAACGTTACCGATATTTATACTTGATAACGTGGTCACGAATAGCTACTTATATCTTCAAAGAATCGTATATACACTTTTTCAAAAGGAATCATAATATATTGCAAACGTCACGTATGCGAAATAAGAAATTTTCAGTGCGGCGGGGAGGACGTTATTATACTTGTAAAAGAGAGGAACGGTTTTACGCTCTTACGTGGAGATACGCCGTCGGAAGAGAAATAAAGAAGGGAAGGGAAAGGAAAGGAAATGGTATGGAAGGGAAAGATGGTTCTTCATGTATCGGTGGATATAAAGACGATCGAGTGACGCTTTAATAAAGTCGTTAGGCTAAGCTTCGATCGAAATTCGATACGTAAACGAGAGACGAGAAAGAAGAGGATTTAATCTCGATGAGAGAGAGAGAGAGAGAGAGAGAGAGAGAGAGAGAAAGAGTGAGTATATGTATGCAAGGAAAAGAAGAAGACGTGACGGTAACGATTTCTGCGATCGGTATCGGGCTTAGAGAAGAAGAAGAAGAAGAAGAAGCGTTAAATAAACAGAGAAAACGACGAGACGTCAAAGTGTTCTTAGTAAAGAAGACATATCAACGACGACAGTGGGCCACGTGGCAACCACTATCTCTATCTATCTCTCTCTCTCTCTCTCTCTCTCTCTGAATTTAGAGATAAAAATGTGTCCTTTTCATTTACTCACCGTCGAAGTTCGAACAGTAGAAGAATTAGGGCTACGTATCGGGCGATTCTATTAGCGATTCGTGATACGTTGTTTTTCTTAGCGATTTTAGGAGCACCAGGACCGGCACCAGAACCAACACAACCACCACCACCAGACGGAGGTCCTTCGTAATAAATACGGGCTGGTAGTAGAGACGAAGGCATCCTGTCATCGCCCCGAGGACGTCTCTTTTTCTCTCGGCGGCCGCGTTTTGCCCACTTTAAAAAAGACTCTCGAGTGGGGAGAGCCCTCGGTCCAGGGTTGCTGCACACCCCTAGCACCCGAACGGAAGGACCCTTCTTCTTTCGCTTTGGCCTCCGAACGCTCTCCGAACGCTCTCCGAACGATCTTCTCCGCTCTCTTCTTCCTCTTCTTAGCAGTTGCGGTGCCTGTGATCAGCAGCCTGGCACGCGTCGAGGACTCCTCCTCGCCCCCGGGCACCGGCGGCGCGAGTCCTTTGACGTTCTCTCTTTTTCTCTTTCTTTCTCTTTCTTTTTCTCTTTCTCTTTCTCTTTCCTACGATTCGAGAGCTTCTACTTTATTTTCTCTCTGTCTCGTTCGAGGGTCGTTCCTCGAAAACTACCTCTACCCTGCGACAAAGATATCTCGTCCGATTCTCACCCTCCCCCCCTGGTGAATTTTTTTTTTCCTTCGACGACAAGCTCGCTCTATCTTTCTCTATCTATCTTCTCTCTTCTCTCTCAATTCGATTTTTGCCTTCGAGCTTCCCACCCTCCCCCTCCTCTCTTTAGTATCTTCGACACCACCAAGTATTACTTTATATATTAATTTGGATGACTAACTACTTTCTCTCTATTTCTTAACTTAAAGAAATAAATACTAAAAGATAGATAGATAAAGATAGATAGATAGAGAGAAAGTGAGAGACAGAAAATAAGAGAAAGGTAATAATTTAAAATGACGATGAAATATTTCGAAACAATCGTAGCTTTCGTTTGACGCGTCTAGCGTTAATTACTTTTCTACGTTTATCGAATTCGTTGACAATATCTACGATGCACCTTAACATTTCTTCCTTTCTGTCTTACGGCGACGAATAATATGATGTCCGAACTAGGACCACAGGTAACGTCCACCACCTGTTCGACAATGAAAACATGCACGACGTATTTAACAACATCCTTTTTTATTTCGTGAAACTCCTCTTTATTTTTTTTTTTTCAGTTCATCCTCGTTCCCCACCCTCGTTTGGATGGGGTCGAAATTAGTTGGAAAAGAAACAGAACCTTCGGGCACCAGCAATACAACCACCACTACCACCACCTCCACTACCACTATCACCAAAACAACTACAACCACTACCACTACTACAACCACCACCACGTAGAAGCACCACTTTTACGGAAACACCTTTCCTCACCCTTTCTATCCTTTTATTTATTAACAATTTTCGAAGATCTGTCGATGAGGAACGTTAGGTACTGCTCCGCACTTCCGGTATGCGTGTGCTCGCGGCGAAGTGTCAAGCTTAAATAAAAGAAAAGTCGCCCTCCGGCTCCCTCCTCCCACACACTCCCTTCTTCCTCCTCCTCTTCTCTTCCTCCTTCTTCTTCCCCTCCTCCCTATGCCTCCGCCCCCACCTCCACCTCCTGCTCCTCCTTGATCTTTCTCTCTCTCTCTCTCTCTCTCTCTCTCTCTCTCTCTTGCTCTCTCTCTCTCTCTTGCTCTCTCTCTCTCTCGCTCTCTCTCTCGTGGGCGCGCTCGCGCTTCGGTGCGCGTCTATCTCTCTGCTGTTCGTTCGTGCAAACAGTCGAATGCAAACTTCCCGTCCGGCTTACTTAGCGAGGATCGCTAACGACGACGATGACTATGACGATGACTATGACTACGACTATGACGAAGAAGAAGAAGAAGATGAAGATGAAGTACGATGAAACAAAAGGAGAAAGAGAGGTGGTCGTGGTTAAAAATGCGGACATGCATGCGAGAAAATAAATCAAAGAGCAAGTGGACGAGGTAGTTGAATAAAAAGTATGGGGTAAAAAAGAGGTGGCGAAGGGAAGGTAGAATAGATCGGGAAAGGATCTAAACTAAAGGAGGACATGGGCGGTGTAGGAGCGAGGGAGGAAGGAGAGAGGGGGGAAAGGATGGTTGAAAGGATCGTTTAAGGAACGATACGGTTAGAGATATTCGCGCACTCGTAGCTGCTGTATCTTCTTGCTTCTTCTTCTTCTTGTTCCTTAGTTTTCTTTTTTTGGATCAGTTTATCTATGGATAGTGACGGATGGATGGATTGGATGGGATGTCGGTGCAGTTAGCTGCGTTGCTGGCTGCTGCAGCTCGGAGAGACGGAGATAATCTGAGGATCGGTGGTGGTTCGTTCGTTCGTTCGTTCGTTCGTTCGTTCGTTCGTTGGTTGGTTGGTTGGTTGGTTGGTTCGTTTGCTCGTTCGTTCGTTCGTTCGAGAACGGCGCGCCACGTCGGGGACGAGCGAGTAGAAGAGCTGTCAGGATGATCGGCCCGTCTATGACGAACTCGGTGCGCACACGGACAGGGCCCTTTCTCCCCCCACCCACCTCTTCTTCTGTACCCTTTCTCACCCACCCACTGTATTTGTTCGTTCGTTCTTTTGCTTGCTAGCTATCCTTGTCCCAGTAGGAAGAACGAGAAGATGAAGATGAAGAAGATGATGATGAAGATGATGATGATGATGATGAAGAGGACTCTCCAGTGTCGGAAGAATCAACGGATCCCCCCTTCCCTCCCCGGCTCGCCCCCCACCATCACCATCAGCGCAACGCGTCGCTGTTGTCGTCACGACCACTACCCTTCGAAAGGGGCAGACACCTAGGGGCAGACGCTAACTTTCCCTCCGACGTGCCGAGAGAGGACCGCTGCGCGCCAAAACCCTCCCTCCCTCCTCGAGCCCTCCCTCCGCTCACACCTCCGCGCTCCTCCTTTTTTCGGATCAACTCTGGATCGACGTCTTTTAACAGCAACCCCTCTCTCACCCCCCTCCACTCTACCCCGAACCAGCCAACCAACCAACCAACCAACCAACCCCTCTCTCGAAATATTTTCAACGAGTATTTTTCTTCTTATTCTCTCTTTCTCGTTTCGCGGAAGAAGAAGATGATGATGATGAAGAAGAAGGATGGTTGTTAAGGGAAGAGGGTAGAAAGTGAAATAGGCGGGAAACGAGGGTTTGGAGGGTGGGGTGGGGCGGGAGGGAAGGAAGGAAGGAAGGAAGTTGGGCTCGGTCGATCACGTGACAGGACGAGTGGGAGGAGCGAATCTTCCCCTACCCCAGCATCCCTCGAAGAGGAGTCGATCGACGTAATTGTGGCCTTATCTTTCGTTAGTCTACCTTACGCCTACTCACCCTTCTCCCCTCCCCAGCCCCACTTATTTTATACCACAATCCCCCCTCAATTTTTTACTTCGATTTCCTTTTTCTTTCTCCGATCGTGATTTTGCGAGAGAAAATTTGAAAAAGAAAAAAAAGAAGAAAAAAAAACAAGTAAAACGATTAAACAATCTCCGATTTATTTCGTGAATCCTTTCGTCAAAGGATTATTCGATTTCCGTCATGGGGCCTCGTTAAAATGAGAATACGAAGATGAAAGTAGTTACTTCGAATAATGTTGCCACGGAGAAAGCGTTTGTTCTTTATCTTTTATTCTTATTTCTGTGTGTGTCTGTGTGTGTGTTTTTTCTTTTTTTCTTTTTTCTTTCTCTTTCTTAAAGATTCACAAAGTAAAAGTAAACTTATTTTTTTGTACGTACGTACGTAATGTGAATCGCGCGAATCAAGCGTTGCGCCAGTGTTTGTAGAAATGAGAATCCGGTTCTTCGTTTCGAACGTTCGATCACGATAAGACGATGAGGAGAGTGAGGAACTGGTGGAGGAGGAGGAAGAGGAGGAAAAGGAAAAGGAAAAGGTGGAGGAGAAGGAGGAGGAGAATACGGTACCTTAACCCGTATCGCACGGTGATTCGTTTAACGTTTTGCGAAACGATTCAGGCTCGCAAAAAAAGATGGTCGATCGGTAAGAGCGTGATAATCGATCGATCGGTGGTCAGTCGATCATCATTTTGTTAGGCGAGAAACGCGGAAGAAATCCAATGGAGAAGACGAGTAGGAGGACGAGGAGGAGAATGAAAAAATAAAAAAGAAAAAAAGAAAAGAAGTTAACCCGTAAGAAGGACTCGGAATTGAAGGTACTCGGAATACACGTTTCGGTGTGAACAATCGTCGATAATCGCGAACCGTTCGACACGTTTAATTGAGACGTCGATGGTCGTTTAACGAGAAAAATCGGCAGAACTAAAGTAAGAGAGATGAATGGGGTGGGGGGTGTGGTAAGGGTGTAAAGGAACGAAATCTTTTTCTACGCTTCGTTCATTTTAGTTAGCTGCCATGCCGTTTTATTCTTTTCCTCGGATAGTAGTCGAAAGCTACAAAAATGTACGATGTTAAAGAGAAAAAGAAAAAGAAAAAAAGAGAGAAAGAAGGAATGAGAGAGAGAGAGAGAGAGAGAGAGAGAGAGAGAGTGGGAGAGATAGATAGAGAGATTAATTGGAAAAGTAGGCTCGCGTAGTATGAAAGCAGGAACAGAAAGCTCTGGTGGGAACTTAATATCGTTGAAAGCGGGCGAATTCTCGTTCGGGGTTTACTGCTTGGAATGTTTTAATAACGTGCATTCCCCGTCTCGATCGATCCCTCCTCACCGAGGAAAAGGGCGAAGGGCGAAGAGTATGCGGAATATATATTATACTTCGTAGTACGTTGTTGTAAAATCCCATGGCCCGTGCAAGGTAATAGTACTACATATATAGTAACAAAAAAAAAATAAATAAATAAATAATATAAAAAAGTTAAAAAAAAAATAAATAGAAAAGATTATCAAGTAGCAGTTGCGCGTGTACAAGGCGGCGATTCACAGTCGCCATTTTTTCGTTATTTGGCGAACGTGAATTGTAGGGTCGTTCAGGTGGTGATGGGAGCGGGCGGGGATGGGAGGGGGGAGGGTTATCCGAGTAGTTTACACATTTTAAGGACCACTTCTCTTCATCTTGACAGAGTGATCGTGATTTTGACGCTAAGGACAAGGGAACCATTTTTCGGGATAGAAAGAAAAAGAAAATAAAAAAGGTCGAGAGGGGTTCCATTGTGAAGATCGCGTAGCAAGAATAATACTTGTCTTCCTTTTTCCTCTCTCTTTCTCGAGAAGAAGAAGGAGAAGAAGAAGAAGCAACGACTCGAACGAAAGAGGATCGTTTAGCCCGGAACCGATCCGGTCCTCTCTTTCCTTCACTTTCTCAATACTCCTATCGTTTACGTTATTTCCTTTCGATGTTTTTCTCTTTCTCTCTCTTTCTCTCGATGATATATCCGTTACAGAATAGAAACGGTTGATCGCACGATCGAGAGGAGATACGCGTTAAGCTCTGAATGATGATCGGCATCGTTTTCGCTAAAAGCCACTTGTTGATGTTCGTCCGAGCATGATCGATTTACTCGCTAAAAATAGTCCTCTTTTCTAGAATAATCTGCTTTCGGGGATCATAGATGTTCCGCCTGTTTAACGCGAACCATCGTCAACTTTAGTTCAACATTCGTTAACCGACGGCCTCTTCTTTTTTTCTTATTCTACTACCTTCCTTCTTCTTCTTCTTCTTCTGAACATTCCGTTGTCCGCTTACTTTTCTCCTTTCTTTGCACCAATCAAACAGACAAAAAATACACACACACACACACACACACACATACAAACATATACGAACGAACACAAAATATAGGAAAAGAAAAGTGGAAAGGAAGGAGAAAGATTTTCGTC